CGTTTCGTTTCCTTTACTTTAGTTTTACAATACCCCATTTACACTACTTACGAAGACAACAGAAACTACAAATACAACNCGACTCGAATTCACTATATCCATTCCCTCTTACGCCGTTAATTATTTTATGTCACCTACAGTTTTAGTGAATGAATAAGTAAATATAAATGAGCTTATTTTATACAGTATTTCAGTACTTTTAGAAGTAAGATAGAAACAGTGTATTCTATTCCTTTTTCTTTACCGTTTTTTTTATTATTAGGATATCTAATAGTTAACACGAATGCAAGTGATCCATCCTAATTTTTCCTGTTAAGTAGGATATTCCATTGGTTAAAACATTGTAGGATAAGATGGAGATTTTAAAAGGTAATGCTAAAGGTTGAGGGGATCTTCTTCACACTGAACAACAAAAGCCGAAGTGTTCAGACAACAAACACTCATCAAGGAAAAATAAATAAAAAGACAAGGCCACTTCTTGATTTTCATCCTTCTCAAAATAAGTAACTACAGCCCTTTTTCAATTCTTTACTGTGGTAATCCGATCATTCCTAAACACAATGGTATTAATAGAACGATAAACCTCAGGACACACTTTTGGATAGTTTCAAGATATCAAAGCACAAGTGTATCATACCACAGTTCTGCAAAAGCTGGCATTCCAGTTTGTGCTTCATCACACAAATAACCTGCATACATCAAATAGCAAGTATTGAGCACATGTAGAAAGATAATAAACAAATGAAATTAAGGTAAGGCACTAAAAACCTGAGAATTTTTCGTCAATTTCAGTAAACTCATGATTTGCCAAATCCAACAGCTGCCTTCTTTATTTTCCGTGTATTTATGCTTTCAGGGGTCGGCAACCCAGTCTTCTCCTCAAATTTCTTTTCCAGAGCCTGTGAAAATCCAGTTATAAAGATAAACAACAAAAATCTTGGTTCCTAGGTGTAACATCTGCAGATGTATGTCTTCCAACTTTAACAATCATCTACTAACCACTAAATCTTCACGGAT